CAGCCCCCAGCACACACCCATCATCTTACCGTCTCCATAGTTTGCCTCTTCCAGAATGTCTCATTGCTGGCATCATACAGCAGGTAGCCTGTTCAGACTGGCCCCTTTCACTTAGTAATATTATTTAAGGGTCCTTCATGTCTTTTCGTGGCTTGATAGTTCATTTATCCATTTACTTACTGAAGAACATCGTAGTTGCTTCCAAGTTCTGGCAATGGTAAATAAAACTGCCATAAACATCTGTGTGCAGGCTTTTGCATGGACATGAATTTCAGCTCCTCTGGGTAAATACCAAGGGGCACAATGGCTAGATCTTATGGTAAGAGCATGTGTAGTTGTGTAAGAAACTACCAAACGGTCTTCCAAGTGGCCGCACTATTTTGCGTTCCTGCCAGCAATGAATGAAACTTCTTGCGGTGCCACGTCCCGTCAGCTGGTGTCTGTGTTCCAGATTTTGGCCATTCCATTGCGTGTGTAGTAGTAATTCATTTGTATTTCCCTGATGACATGATGTGCAGCATTTTCTCATATGATTATTTGCCGATGTTCATCTTCTTTGGTGAGGTATCTGTTAAGATCTTTGGCCCATTTTTTAATTGTATTGTTTTCTCGTTAAGTTTTAAGAGTTCTTTGTGTATTTTCTTTTCTTCTTTTAAAAAAGATATTTATTTATTTATTTGAGAGAGGGAAAGAGAGAAAGAGACAGTGCCCACGAGCAGGGGCGGGGGGCAGAGGGGGAGGGAGAGGGGGAGAATCCCAAACAGACTCCATGCTGAGCACGGAGCCCTACGTGGGGCTCGATCCCACGATCCTGAGATCATGACCTGAGCTGAAACCAAGAGTCAGACGCCTAGCCGACTGTGCTCTCCAGGCACCCCGCTTTGTGTATTTTCAATGCAAGTCCTCAGGTATATTTTTGCAAATTTTTCCTCCCCGTCTGTGTTTGTCTCTTCAGTCTGTCAGTGTCTTTCACAGAGCAGGTGCTTTAATTTTAATGAAATCCAACTTACCAACTTCTTCTTTCATGGACTGTGTTGTCTTTAGTGTAGTACCTTAAAAACATATCGCCAACCAAGGTCACTTAGGTTTCTCTTGTGGGGTCTCCTAGAGGTTTAGAGGCTTGCATTCTATGTGTGGGTCTGTGATCCATTCTGAGTTTGGGTTTGTGCTCCTTATCTAGATTCTTTTTGCTTTCACGTTGATGTTCTGTTGTTCTATTTCTTGAAAAGACTTTGTCAATGATCAGTTGCTGTGTTTGTTTAGATCTGTGTCTTGGAATAGACTATCCCTCCTCCCCTGAATTGCTTTTGCATCTTTATCAAAACTCAGTTGGGCGTATCTGCTAAGTCTTAAGGAAGTTCCTCTCTATTCCTAGTTTGCTGCTGAGAGATTTTATATGAGTGGGTGTAGGATTCAGTCAAATGCTTTTCTGCATCAATTGATATCTTAGCCTATTGATAAGGTGGTTTACACTGACTAATTTTTGAATTTTGAACCAGCTCTGCATATCTGGAAATTCTACTTGGCCTTTCTGCAGATTACCTTGGCATTTTTAGAATTCCATTTCTATGTACTTACAATGTTTTTTGATCATCTCACTTTGTATTGTTTTCTGCTTGGTTGTTCTAGATATTACAATATAGAAGTGACTTACCTCCAACTCCTCATATCAAAGTCTTACCGCTTCGAGTGAAGCTTTGAATGTTTACCTCCTTTTAGATCCCTATACCCTTTCCACTTTTTTTTAAAATTATTTTATTTATTTCTTTATTTATTTTTAAAGATTTTATTCATTTATTTGACAGAGAGAGACACAGTGAGAGAGGGAACACAAGCAGAGGGAGTGGGAGAGGGAGAAGCAGGCTTCTGCCGAGCAGGGAGCCTGATGCTGGGCTCGATCCCAGGACCCCGGGATCATGACCTGAGCCGAAGGCAGACGCTTAACGACTGAGCCACCCAGGCGCCCCCCCCTTTCCACTTTTTAAAGAAATTGTATTTCCTCTGCATACCCTGAGCATTGCACCAGGTGGGTGTTATACTGTTTGGTGTTAAAATGAACTCTGATTTAAGAAACTCATGAGAATGGTACTCTATTATTTCACTCCACACCACAGCCTGGGGGATTAAACCACAGGAATGCATTTCTCACAGTCCTGGAGGCTGCAAGTCCAACATCAGGGGGCTGGCCCGGTGGGTTCCTGGCGAGGCTCTCCTCCTGGCCTGCAGACCACCACCTCCCCGCTCCCCACCATGTCCTCACATGGCCTGTCCTCTGTGTGAGTGCACACCTCGTGTCCCCCCCCCATAAGGACACCAGTCCTATTGGATTAGGGCCCCACCCTTGTGACCTCATTTAACCTTAATTACTTTTTAAAAGACTCTGTCTCGATATATGTCACATTGAAGGTTAGGACTTCAATATGTGAATTTGGGGGGAATCGCAATTTGGTTCCTAATACTTGCAACCATTTCTTCCCATCCTGAAAACAGTATCGAACACCTCAAGAATTCACGTGTCATCCTTGCAGCGAATCTCTGCGTTGTTTTGTTTTTGCCATGTGTAGCTGAAGTGATCACCCCAATAGCTGTTTGAATACTTAAGTAATCCCTCTTGATTGAGTCTGTTTCTCATCCTAGAAAGAGGCATTTTTTATCTTCATGATATAGATTCATTCTCAAAGGTAACATCCCTGTATCTTAGTTGTCTGGATCTCAGTATAACCTTAAAAAACATGATCTTCCCTGGAGTATTGGAGCCATTGTAAAAATCTGAATTTAGTTTGTAAATTAGAGAAGAAGCACTATAGCAAAATTCAATTCCTAGATTTGGTCATTTTACTAAGATAATATAAGAGCATAACCTTTTTATTGGGAAATTATATGATGAAATATTTAGGGGTAAAGGGTCATTGTGTCTGTAACACAAGGGAGTGCTGCTTATCATACTGAAGACTTCATCTTAGCTGCATTTGATGTTCTCTTGCCAAATTTCTTCTCACTTATAACTGAAAGTAGATTTCTCCTTCACATATTAAAATGATATTTCTGAGATACTGCAATTCAGTTGAATTTTGAACTTCTTGTTCAAAGTTCAATGGTATTCTTGCCTTTTATGGTAATGACTTAAAAAAAGAATTTGAAATGTTGAATTGCTTTTTTATGTAATAGATCAATGCACCTTTAATTTAACTAGGTACATGTCAGGAGATTGACTTCCCATTTTACTCGGAGCTAGTCTTTACTGTAATATCTTAACTAATAATAAGTATGCTCCAGTATACCTAGTACTAAAAGCACAGAAAATTCTTCATGTGTGGGTGAAGAACCTGTTGTGTTCTAAGTATTTGGTAGTGATGTGTACTATTTGGAGAATGGAGGTAGATGGAGTGATGATTGACGTGGGGGGCTGCATTTTCCCTCCCCCCCAGCCCCGCCCCACCCCGGCAGCCCTTGGAGGCATTTGCTGGTGTACCCGTGTGCACGCTCTGTCTCTCCTCTGTGCTGATATTACTCACTCAGTCCACCCATCTTTCTATGTTGTTAAAAAAACAAAATTCAACTGAGTAAATTTTAAAGGTCTTATTGGCTTTATTCAGTGATTCATGAATCGGGCAGCATCCCATCTAGCAGACAGGGAGGAGTTCTGAGGAGCTGTACAAAATGGAAGACTTCCAGGCAGATGGGAGGGCGGACAAGACATGGATAAGGCAAAAAAAATGTAGGTTGCTTATTGCACTTTCCTTTGGGGCTGGCAGGGGTCTATCAGGCAGAGTACCTCATAGTGCTGGTCAGGCGATTCCTGATTGGCTGGTTTAAGACTCCATTTCTGGGAAAACCCAAATAGTACTTAAGTTTCAGTTTGGTGACATGGAGCTTAGCACAAGTGACTCCATTTTGAGCCGTTTTGATTGAGCAATGTATCTCATCTCACGTTTCTAATAGCTACACAATATTCTGTGGCAAGCTTTCCACCCCATTTTTCTTACCCACTCTCACTGGGTGGCTCAGATCTGCAGAGATGACACTAGGGTGACGAGTGAGTGACCCAGAGAAGCCAGCATGGTGGCATCAGAGGGAAGAGCGCCAGGCTGGGGAGCAGCAGAGACCCCGCACGGGCCAAGCCTGGTGTGTGCAGAGAACAGAAATAGGGTGGGGTGATGTGTGGTCATAGGAAGCTGGAGGAGGGGTCCTGGAGGCAAGAAGGGGCCAGATCAGACTGTCAGCTTCCCGGAAAAGGGTCCCATGGGAGCTGAAAGGCAGAAATGGCCGATTATCCTTATCAGCCAGTGTGATTAAATGTCACTATGTGCCAGGGTTCTATATTTCTTGACATTTAGTTAGGAGCCATGGCCTGCCTTTACTGGGTCGATGAGACAAATGGGGCGCTGAATTAGGTCATCACCCAGAGTGACAAGACAGAAGGGCCAGAGCTGAATGTCAACCCAGAAAGACCAAGTTCCAGATCCACACGCCTCCACACCCCTGCGCAGTTGCCTGCAAGGCCCAGAAGAAGTCTGTGGAAGAAGTGGAACCCCTGCACGGATTTTGCCTGGTTTTCCTCCGGAGATGATTCGAGAGAAAAGAATAGATAGACAAATCTGAATCCAGCAAGGAGGGGAACAGAAGCAAGCATGGAGAAAATGCTCCGTGTTGTTCTATATCTGATATTCCGTTTATACTTAACCGGAGAGGGAGATACACACGCCTCAGGTGGCGTTGTGCGTAAGGCACAGAGCATCCCCACGCAAACACAGCCACCGGCACCAGCAAAGCAGAGAACCTAAATGGCGGGGTGCGACCTGTATGCACCCTAACGTTAGGGATGAGATTTGGGTGTGGGCCACACCGTACTGTGCTTGGGATCTTAGCCTGAGATTATAGTGGGGAGCCTGTCCCTGTCTGGGTGCAAACAACGGGGCAGGTTTCCCACTTTTTAAGTTAGGGTGAAGGTGGAGTGTTACCATGAGGTAAAAAAAGCCCATGTCACGTTCTCCTCTCAGGGTTTTCTTCCTCGGCTCACCGAATGGAGAGGAACGTGGGAGCAGCAAGATGCCACGGAGAGGGGAGCCCGAGGCCAGGACAAGGTGAGCTGCCTGGGCCTCCCTGACCCCTCTCCCCGCCTCTGCCGCCTCTCTCTGCCTGCCTCCCAGGTTAAGTCAGGCTGTCTTACCTGAGAGAAGCCCCAAGGTGGGGGGTTCACAGTGGAATCTAGGAGAATTGATAGTGAGGTAGAAAAAATGAAAAGATTCTTTCAGTAGGGGCGCCTGGGTAGCTCAGTCAGTTAAGAGTGTGCTTTCAGCTCAGGTCATGACCTCAGGGTCCTGGGATCGAGTCCTACACTGGGCTCCCTGCTCATCAGGGAGTCTGCTTTTCCCTCTCCTTCTGCTCCTTACCCCACTTGTGCTCTCTCTCTCTTTCTCAAATAAGGATTTGGACAGATGCTTTCTTTAACATGAGCATATTCACAAATCCCAGCTATAAAACAAATCTTGTCCTATTACTAATATAGTCCAGCTTTACATCTGGCTCTTTAGGTGAAGAATACAGTGGTAAGTTCTTTGCATATGTTTGGGGCTGTTCGAGAAGACCAGCCTCTTGACTACCAGTTTGTCTTCCTGAGCTGTGCTCTGCTCTAGGAGCGATCCCCAAATGTGCCGGATCACAGCAGTCACCTGGGGCTCTTGGTAAAAACTTGCACTTCCAGGCCTTTTTCCGAAGATGCGGATTTAGCTGGTCTGCGTTGGTCAAGCTCCTCAGATAATTCCTGTGATTCCAATCATCAGACAAGTCTGGGAAATCCTGAACTGATCAGCGTGCTGTGACTACTGATGCTCGGTTCTGTCTGGCCGACGTGAAGTTCAGGGATGGGTCATGATCATCGCTGGCTCTTCTCCTTTGGAGCATTCACTGAGGATGTGTTCTTATTCCCACGTAATAATTTCCTCACGAAGACCTCAGGGGCCTGAAAATGTCCCCGCTATCCATCCTTCCACACCCATCCTTGTAATTCCTACTTGTTTCTTGTTTTTTGTTTTTCCCTCTCTTTGAAATTATCTCAAACCTAATATTCTTTCCACTGGGATTCAATTGGGTTTTACTTTGACTTTCCAGCTACTTCCATCATCTTCAAAAAAATAAGTTCTCCTTATTTTCTAAATTTAGAGTGCTGTAATTTATGTGACTGTTTTTGCACTTTTAAAATATCTCAAATACTGTACTTGATAACACCCTTAACTATGTTACATTTAATTCTATCTATCTATCTATCTATCTATCTATCTATCTATCTATCTATCTATCTATTTTTTTTTTTTAACCATTCTGAGCCTGGGGAACCTAGCTCTCTGTCAGATACTACTGCTTTTCAGAGACATTTTCGGTCTCTTATCAACTAATTTATCCTGGACGACCAAGGCCGAGGAGTCTAAGTATTTATAGTGTGCCCGGAATATTTTGACATGTATCTGAAAGCATAATAAGTGTAAACTCGGTTGAACAAGTGCTAGATTTGCTCGTCTGAAGGAACATTACAATGTACCACTACCATGTGTCATAGTACTGTGCCCTAAGGATGTAAAGAGGGATGGGTACCCATCCTTGACAGTCTTACGTTTTAGCTCTGGAGGTAGGACATGAACGTAAAATACAAGTAAAACATTTCTTTCAGAACAAGATTATTTGTAAACCAGACGAGAAGGATCCCCGAAGTGAAGCATACCTTCGCCGCTTGCATCAGATGTATTCTGCTTCCCTTGCTAACATGGACTTCTCCAGGAGGTGAGCTCCTTTCTAAAACACACGGGGATGCCAATTTTGTTAAAGATTTTATTTATTTATTTGAGAGATTGAGCACGGGTGGGGGGAGGGGCAGAGGGAGAAGCAGGCCCTTCGCAGAGGAGGGAGCCTGATGCTAGGCTCGGTCCCAGGGCTCCCAGGACCCCAGGATCATGACCTGAGCTGAAGGCAGACGCTTAACCCACTGAGCCACCCAGGCACCCCTGGGGATGCCTATTTTAAATATGTCTTTCCACACTTGTGTTCACAGCCTTTTCACAGGTCCACGAAAGAACTGTCACTCTCCAATGTGTTGCAGATGATTTCCCAGTAAAAGAAGCGTCATAAAGGCTAATCAATAAGAAAGAAACCGACATAGTGTAGATCTACACAGTAAACCACAGTAGGTCCTGTCCTTTGAGATTGTCAGGGACTGTAGGGAGTAGCCATGGAGGAGAGGGATCATTATCTTTGAGGGTTATGTAATAATTCCCTCAGAACTGGAACTTGTTAAAACGTCTTATTCACACAAACTTAAAATCTGTGTTGCTCCTGCCAAGCCCAAGTACGTCAGCAGAACAGAGCTAACCTCACCCACGCACCAAAGGAACACGAGAGTGCGTGGCTGGGTGAGCGATGTGCCCCACACTAGGCACCGGATAGGTGCGAAGTCAGAATGTGAGCAATCGCATGATTGGTGGATCAGGCAAACACGAAACCAAATATTTAAAAAAATACTGTAAGAATGGCAAAAGAGAGACCGAAGAGAGAAGTCTTTAAAACCTCTACATCATCTGCCCCGATTCGGCACCTCCCCGGGCTCTGTGTTCCAACACTGAGGGCTTTCCCAGGCACGGAGCAGATGCCCTGCACTCAGCCCCTCGTCCACTGTTACAAGGTGGGTGCTGTCGATCCCAGGACCCTGAGATCAGTGGGTGCTGTCCCAGACTGGTGTTTGGCACAGAGACTGGGGCTCAGGCTCCAAACGTAGGTCAGGGTCCGCTTTAGTGGTGGAGGTACCGTGGCCTGTGATCTGCTGACCCTACATCCCATGGGGAGCATCGTGGGTATTTTTGCTATCCTGTGGGAGGAGGTAGGCCTCCGTCTCCCCATTCCCTTAGGACTGAACAGGTACACGGCATACACAGACACAGAGCCCCAGCGTCACACCTGAGAGGTAGGACGTGAACTTGGATCTTCTGGCCCAAAGTCTGTCTGGCTGTCCAGCTCCCCTAGCAAGCAGAGCCTGGTGGGAGGACCGAAGAGCGTGGCGGCAGGGAGCAGAGAAGGAGAAGCTGCTTCCTCTCTTTAGAGCCCAGGGAAGCAAGGCACTTCGGAATTAGGGGGAATTAAGATGGTGGCAACCAACTCTCAAACTGGCGGCTTTGCCAGGTGCGTGTGGATATCTTCCGGGACACATAACCGGGAGAGGGGGTCACAGAAGAGAGCCCGTTCTTTGAGTCAGAGGCTCTCTCAAAGTGAAGGCTCTCCTCTCTCCTGCAGAACCGCGCGCATGGAGCGTGGCTGCACCCCAGACCACCACGTGATGCTTCCCGTGGGGCGATTTCACAGAACGTCCAACTGGAAGAATCCTGCAGATTCTTGCAGCAAAGGAGTGACTTTCTGGTCATTTGCAGGGAAGAGTGTCTCCCTTTTAGTGGCCAATTCAGGCCCGGCTATTAGCATTTGAATCAGCCAGCCATGCTGTTTTGATTGAAGAGAGAAACCCAGCCTTTGTTGTTGCAATTTAGGGGCGTAAGTAATTTTCTGTGCTCCTTTAATCAGTTCAAACAGTCGGGGAAATGGCAATATATAGGAAAAGTGTGGTCTGGCCTCGGAAATGCAAATGTGGCTCCTGTCCCGAAGATTCCCCACGTCAGCTTCTGATCCCGCCTGTGGCAGCTCCGTGAGCTCCGGTGACCTCCCTCGGCCGGCGGTCCTTCCCATCAAAAATTGGCCGAACGTCTTCAAAATATTCTCTTTGTTTGGATTAAACCGATCCAAGTAATCACAGAAACGCGCAGACGGGGGTCAGCTCCTTTTCCGTGGGCTGACCCCTGCTTCCTGCCCCTGGATGTGGCCAAGCCAGGGTCATGTCCAAAACATCAGTGACGTTGAGGTCCCCGAGTTCCTTGGGGCACTTTATAGCATGTAATTTATTTTTTTTTATTTTTATTTTTTTAAAGATTTTTTATTTATTTATTTGAGAGAGAGAGAATGAGAGACAGAGAGCATGAGAGGGAGGAGGGTCAGAGGGAGAAGCAGACTCCCTGCCGAGCAGGGAGCCCGATGTGGGACTCGATCCCGGGACTCCAGGATCATGACCTGAGCCGAAGGCAGTCGCTTAACCAACTGAGCCACCCAGGCGCCCTATAGCATGTAATTTACTCGCTTAGGAGACATCCGATTCACTTTTGTAGCTAAGAAAACTGCAAAATTTTGAGTTTAAATAGATGGAAGACCAAGTTTTCCAAAATCCTGTTTGCTTTGCTTTTCTGCATTTGGTCTGCATTACATTTGCTTATCTTGTGTGTGTGTCTGTGTGTGTGTGTGCAGCCTTGGGCGAAGACTCTGGATTCTTTGCAACGCAGTGACTAGGGAAAACCCACTTGGAAACAAAGAATGCCTTCGCAAATTGACGCATTTGCTGCCAAGCTGGGAGCAAAGTTTCACCCGGTGTGTTGGTTTTTGCATTGATGCTCGGGCAAGGCCTCGAACGTGCGGGGTGCATCTCAGCGCTGCAGGGCGTCAGCTCCCCGGCCAAATGGAGGGTGACAGGGTTGGCCGAATCTCCTCCCTGAGCATTGACCCAAGGCATCGGTAAACACCCCGAGGCCCCAGGCAGGGGTGCCCCAGGACCCCGCCCTCGGGTGGTGGGCTCAGGTTCCAGCCAGGGAGGGGCTGCAGAGACAGGGGCAGCAGCCTGGCCAGCTCTGCCCAGCAGAGGTGAACCTGGTGAACCAGGCTCAGCACTAACGTGCCTTGCCTTCGGATGGCATGTGCGCACACCAGACCACGTTTTGTGGACTCTTCCGGCTAACATATTTGCTAGCTTCCTTTCTCCACTCCAGTCCTGTTTAGATGGCAGGCAAAGTCCGTCTTTGGAGACCGGGTTCCACCCACTCCGTTGAGCTCTTCCCTCTTGGTAGCTGACCCATCACCTCCTCCAGGAGGCATTCCAGGATGTATCTACCTCTTTCACGAGCTCCTGCCTCAGTTGGGGCCGAACTTGCCCATCCGCAAGTACATTCTTTAGCTGTTTGAGTTCCTGGTGCCTCAAAGGCCGGCTCCGCATCTTCTAATTCTTGTGTACCCACCCGTGGGCCTGAGTCCTTTCCCAAGAAAAGCAATTTGTCAACAGCTGTTCCCCAGGAGCTGATAAAAGGCTGTGTTTGTTTCTACCTTGGTGTTTGCTGTATCGTGTGTACAGAGACAAATGGCAGGCCGGGCCTTTAGGCACCTGCCTCATCCCAGCGTGAAGGGGCCCCTGTGTAGGGGCAGCGGCTCTTGCTTCCCCTCGGCCTGCTGCCCCCCGTCCCCCGCCCCCCGCCCTGCTCAGAGTGCCCAGGGCCTTGCTGTGGGCTTGCCCAGGGGGGCTCACCCTGGACCCTGCTTCACCGGCCTCACTGGGAGAAGCAAGGGGGAAGGAAGGAAGAAGTCCCCTGGGGCCTGGCCCAAGGCCACCCTTAGTAGCCGGTGACACTGAGCAGTTCTCCTGTTGGCTCTAGAGTCTATGTCCTCGAACATACTGCAGCAACGGCCATCATTACTCCATGCTCTCACCGAGCTGTTGTGAGAACCAGTGGGGTCTGCAGTGGTCACCATGGTGTTATGGGGAGGGAGACGTCCTTGCGGCGGTCACTGTGGGGTCTGTCGTCTGGCCTGGGACAGAGCCCAGGGGAGGCTCCAGGGCTGATGGAGGCCTGAAGGGAATTCCTTACGAGACAGCTTCCCCTCCTCTGTCCCCAAAGTCACAGGGAAGCCTAGGATGCAGGCGGGGGAGGGGACAGCACGGGGACACACGTTCATTGCTCACTAGCACTGAGAGCCAAGTGGCAGCTAGTGAGGGCCTGTGCAAGCTTCCCTGAGCACCTGCGTCACTTCATCCCCCCGACATCCCTCTGGCTGACCCGAGTTCTCATCACAGATCAGAAAACAGGCTTAGAACTATGAGGCTGTCGTGTCCACACCCACAAACGGCCTAGCAGAAACAAGCCCCGCTCCGGGAGCCATCCCTCCAACCATCAGCTCTTCTTTGGCCCCAAACTTCCCAGACTGAGGCCCATTTTATTGCCAGACTTTCTTTTTAATTCTCTGAAGGAGTGCAAGGAAAATGCAATTTCATGGGCTATAATAATGGGTGGGGTTCATACCGAAAATCTGTATAATCTGTGTAGTTCTTCCGAACACGAAAGCATGTTGCATGGGATCCGGAAGACCTTCTTCACCCACCGTTTACCTTTGCTTTGTTCAATATGAATATGAGCCAAAGGCTCTGGCAAGAAAAAATATTGAGGACATTCTAACAACAGCACTGTGTGTTCAAGGAGTGCTGAGCTTGACAGCTTGCTTCTGTGTTTGCTTTTCTCTGCTTGGTGCTACCCTGAGCAGACTGCTGGAGAGGAACGGCTGGTTTGCAGATGTGGACCCAGAGGGCAGAGCTGGAGATCTGGTCAGTGTTGTCTTGGGCTGACGCCGCACAGTGAGGCTCTGTCTCAGGCCCGGGGGGGCCATGGGCGAGGGGCCAGCACCGGGAAGCTTCCCTGCTGCGTGTTAGCAGACTCTCCAATGACAGCTCTGATGCATGCAGGAGGGCTGCCTGTAAGCAGCGGCCACCACCTAGAGTGTGGGATGAAGAAGCATGCCATTTGTATCCAACTGCATTTCCATTCTGGATCTTGATGTGGTGGCCAGAGAAGAGAGAGGTCAGTTTTAGTTTTACAGGGATAAAAATATAACCTTGAGTCTGACTTAAAAGCAAAGCACAGCCAAAGCAACGCTGGCCTTTCCGCTCTCTGGTTTCTCTGCCCCGTCCCTCCACCGCCAGGGCGCTGCCCAGTGAGGCCCCTACTCGGGTGGGCGATTCCTGCAGTATGATAGGGGACGTAATGGTATTTCTTGGCAATAAGGAACTCTCTCCTAAAATATCAAATAGTATGCAATGAAAAAAATTAAAATATGAATAAATAAACCTCTTAATGATCCTTCTAGTCCAACTTTACCAAGTTCTGTTTTAAAAGTTATTGCTCATATTCTGACATTAATGAAGATGGCAACAACAAAAGCTGAAGGTCACGTTTGCTTCCCAAAGCTGGATTACCTGATCCCAAGTGGACACGGGCTGCGTGGAGTGCGGCCAGGGCCCAGGGGCAGGAGGACAGGGGACGTGGGGCCACCTGGACAGCATGGCCCACCGCCCACAGCACTGCCCACCCTCCGCTTCCTGAAAGGCGACAGCCCAGCTGGTAAAACAGAAGATCCCAATCGGAAAACCAGAGGACACCGAGCAGCCCGGTGTGGCATGTGAGTGGTCTAGAAAAATGCCAGAAAGGATAAATATTGCAAAAATCCCAAGCTGCAGATTTTGAGAATTGGACAGTGACAGGGTAAACGGAATTGAGAGCTAGGAGTGCCAGATCAAGTGTGGCAGGCTTCCACACTAGATGTCAGCCTGAGCCCACTTTCCCAGGGAAGCCTTGCAGCGGGGCCCCGTCCGAGGGTGGGGGCTGTGCTGTCCCTCCCACCGAGCGATGTCCACCCCTCCGGCCACAGATGGGCTCTTCGCTTGTCTGCCTACCCCTCCCCAAATGCCCCCCCCAGTTGGAAACCCAGTGACGGGGGGAGGGGGGCACACACCGGCTGTCTTGCTCACCACAGTGCCCCCTGCTCCTGGTTCACTCACTGGCAAACAGCAGGAGCTCGGTTAATTTTTCTTGAAGGAATGAATGAGCTCCTTCTGGTTCAGTTTTCCGTCTGTGTCTATGTAGTGCCCACCACCCTTCTCGCTCTGAGGCAGGATGGCATCATGGGCATTCCCGGTGCTGATTTGACTGCTGTCTGCCCCGTCCGCCTTTGTCAGGCCTGGCCTTGCTTTCCTCCTTGTGTCGTTTTGTACAGTGGTTACAGGGGTACCTACTGTAGGGTTGTGAGGACTCAGTTAAGTAAGGTTGATAAGGTGCTTTACGTCCACCTAGCACGTGCTACCAGCTCTCTGACGCTGAGCTCTTTTTTTTTTTTTTTTTTGACGCTGAGCTCTTTGTACAAGCCGAGCTCCACATCCCCAGGTAACGCAGGGAGCCGTCGTAGAGAGCATCTAGTATGTGGTGGAGTACGTGCTCCTTTGCCTGGCACCCTACATCCGTTCCCATTGACCAGGTCTGCCAGCAGAAGCAGCATCCGCCAGCCTGCCTCTTACCAGGGAGAAACACAGTTGCAGCCCCGCCTCTGGTTAGCTTCAGTGGTGTTTGTGGGGCAGGTGTTTTTAGTGGTATCATTCTGATGTGGCATGGGAAAGCCTTCAGGACGAGGCACCTGGAGGCAGTGTCTCACTACCTTGCAATCTTGTCAATATCCACTTTTTTTTTTCCGGAGTCCTTACAAAGTTACTATTTTAATAAATAATGCACCTTACACTTTAAAGTGTAACCATCATACTCTTTCACCATAAAGATGAAGCTTAGCCCAGAGGCAGGTGGTTTTTAGAAAGCCTGAGAAATCTGGCACACACTCATTGCTGGCCGATGGCCGGTAAGGAGTTGGGCGTTCCTCTTAATTCCAGTTGACTCTGTCACAGATGGCGTTCTTCTGGGCACCCAGATATAAACCCATAACTGAAGACAGGATAGGATCATCTCACACCCGTTGTCCTCTGATCTCTGTTTCCTGGGTTGTCCTCAAATTTTACTAAATTATAGATGCTTTACGGATGTTAACTTCAGGCCAACACATACAGCAGGTGTACGCTCTTGAGTCATTTTGTCGTTTGGATTTTCATGCAAGTTGCAACAGAGATTTTTTTTTTCCTGCACACACACACGAGCACATGCATGCACCCACACTCTTGTTAATAGTGATTTGTTTTCATTTCTCTGGTAATTGGTTTTGCTGAGTATTAGTGTGTTTTGTTAGAAGCAGATGCAGTTTTATTTAGCCAATATCTGTGGCTCTCAAAACACTTTCCGAAGCAGAATTGTTGAGTATAAAATGCTAATACAAAATGTATATGCTTCATTTCCAAAATTTTGAAGAATGTTTCCATGATTTCCCCAGTGATCGTAATTTCCAATCTGAGATATAATAGCCTTATGGATTCATATGATCAAAAAAAGAGGCATAGATATTGACAAGTGTGAACATACACACAATAAAAAATTTACAAGTGAAACAGTCTTCAGAGAGCCACTGAATGGGGAAATCTATTGGCAAGTGTTAGTAGATTGTAGTGTTTAACGTAAGATTTATAAACTTGGGGGTGGTGGTTAAAATGCTTAAAATATATTGTATATGATTATGTACCTATGATTTTTCTTGGAGAAAGGATTCAGAGTGGTTTTTTTTTTTTTAATTAAGGTTTTAAAGGGGATCTTTGATCCCAAAATGTTTGATGTTATGAAGTTCATTGAAGTGGAAAAAATCTTATATTTGCAGAAAATAATGTGCATTGGCATTAATACCATTTTTAGATTTGCGTGGAGACAAAAATAATTTAAATATAGTCTTCAAGTCTCTCTGTCTCTTTCTCTTTTCCTTTAGGATTAAGCTTCCAGAACACAAAAGGGGTGAGCCTGCTCCTCCCAGGATGACCACAGTACCTCTGACTTGAACAAGTGATTCAAACTCACCACGTTGTGGTTGGCTCCTGTCTTTTCTCTGCCCAGGGGGTTAGATGACATAGAGCCCCAGGAAAGCAAAGGAAAGTTAAGAGTGGGAAGGAAAAAAGGAGATGTTGGAGGATGGGAGGTTGTGGTCAAAGCAGGATGCTGAGCAGGATTTCTGAGTCTGAGCAGCTATGGGCAATGCCCAGAGGCAAGAGAGTGAACACCTGCCCTGGGTGCAAAAGGGGCAAAAGTCACAGGGATTTTGGTGCTGAGAATTAGATGGGTCAGCAGCCTGAAGAGAGGAGAGTCCCAGGATGATAGCAGGAGTGGGGTGGTGGTGGTGGTAAATTGTTTCTTAACTCCTTGGTGAATAGGAAAAATGGCCAAGAATTAGGGTTCTAAGAGGCAGTAGGTACACTTGGCTTTTGGAGTTTATATATAGTTTTCCCTTTCCTTCATTCCAGGAGGTCAGGACAGCAAGACGATATTGGACCAACTATGTGGACCAGGAATGAGACTAGCATCTTGCCATGATGGAAAGGATGAAGAAATGTTGAAATTCTCAAAGAAACAATTAAATGGCAGATTTCTGTTTCTTTCATTCAAAGTTATGATAGGCAACAATAGCATCATCAACTAAATCATATATTCATTATAAATGTGACATTGTTCATACAGAAACCCAGAACCATGAATGAGAACAAATAGAAAAAAGAGTCAGCAGAATATGACTCACAGAGGGTCGAGATAATAGAAATGAAAAGATGAAGAAAATACCTAAGTATGATTTATATGTCTAAATTTTAGGAAGAATTTTTAAATTATGAGTAAGCATTAGGAGACTCTTAAAATAAATCAAAAGTGTTTGAAAAAGAATGAAATAGAGCCTTTAGAGTGGAAAATTAATAAATATAAAAATAATGAAGGGGTTAAAGAATAGGTTCGACATGCCTGAAGATAGTGAACTATATAGATCAAGATGGATTATCCAAAATACAGCACAGAAACAAAGCAATGGAATATATAACAGAGGGGTCAAAGGAAACAGAAGCTCTAGTAAGAAAATCCAACATATGTTTAATTATAGCTCCAGCAGGAATAATTGAGAGAATGGGGAAGAAGCATATATCAATGAAGAAATTTTAAAATTCCAGAATAGATGAAAGAAACCAATCCTTAGATTTAGGGATCCCAAGGAATCATAAGAGCAATACATAAAAAGAACAGCGAATGTAAAATGAAGTTCTTTAAAGACGCCAGGGAGAAAATACGGATCATTACAAAGGAATAACAATTAGAAAAACAGATGACATCTCAATAGTAACATTGAATAAATTCTTGTAAATTATTTTAGTGAGAAGAAATAGAAAATTTAAATAGTCCTAGTTATTGAATACATAATTTCCAAAACCTTCTAACAAAGAAAATGAGAAAACTCTAGGCCTCTATGATTTCCCTGGTGAATTCTCCAAATACTTAAGTAAGGAATAATGCCACCATTCATATGTGAGCTCTCCAGAAAATGAGAAAGGAAGGCACATCTCTCAACTCTTTTTGTGAACCCAGCATAACCTAGGAGGCTGTTCTCATTCAAGAATGTAGCTGTAAAAGTCCTAAGCAAAATCTTAACAAATTAACCCCAGTAATATAGAGTTCATTTCAATAACTTCTGCTCTAATAAAAAATTATTGCAATTGATGAGTAAAAAGGAAATTACTCAATTTGTTAGTGTACCTAAAAATGTATTTATAAAAAAATGTACTTAATGGTGAAATATTGAATCCTTTCTGAAGTTGGGAGCAATTGAAGGATGCCTGTTCTTTTCATTTCTATTCAAGACTCTTCTGGAAGTTTGGCCAGTATTATAAGCAAGAAAAAAAAAAAAAAGGAAGCTACAACATTTACAAAAGATATAAAACTATTTTTTGTAATAGAAAAATCCCAAAGAACATAGCAAGGCCAGAAGGTATCATACGTTTCTGGAAAATGGTTAACTTTAAAAGGGAGAGAGGGGCTCTTGATGGGGAAGGGAACTTGGATGCTGGAAATGGGCTGTTTCTTGCCCTGGGTGGTGGTTACTAAGTGTTTGCTTTATAATGAGATTCTGTATGAGATTTATGTGAAATTTTATAATGGGATAAGTGTCTACATAAAAATTATAAAAAATTTTATAAAATAGTTTTTTAAAAATTACATTTATGGTAACAATCAAAATTATCTATGAGTTAATTTGTAAAAAAATGTGTAAGCCCTTTATGAAAAAAAATCATAAAACATCGAGAGACATTAAAAAAGACCTGTGCTCTTGAATAGAAATACCACATATTTAAATGGTGTGAGTTCTCCTCAATCTGATTTTTAGATTTAATGCAATTTCAGTAATTTTTCATGGAATTTGATGAACTAATTCTGCAGTTATCATAGAGGAGCTACTGGCTGGAACAGGTAGGACACACTGGGAACAGAAGGTGGTAAGGTGGGGCTTGTTCTACAAGATCTCAGGCCCTGATTTACTATAGCAATTTAAACGGCACTTTTTTGGTTCAAGGGTGGATAAAAGCATCCATGAATTAGAATAGGGAGAGCCTAGCATAAAAAATCAGACTCCAAAATCAGATGCATAGTGGAAGCTGCATAGCAGATTTGTTGCTGATCTTTGGTGAGACAGTGGATGATTTAGCAAACGGTGCTTGGACGATTGGTTTTCCCCATTGAGACTGCATCTCTGCCTCATCTCATGCACAGAAGTCAATTCTATGTGGATTAAAGTCCTAAACATAAAACGACAGGACTATGAAACTTTAAGAATATAGGAGGCTATCTTGGGGACAGGAGTGGCTCTCTTAAACAAAGGCACAAAGACGGTAAAATGGAAAGAACAGGGTGATAAATTTGACCATGTTGAAATGGAGATTTTCTTTTCACAAAAAGACATCATCAAGGACGGGAATAGTCTAGTCACAGAGTGGGAGAATGTTTGCTGTTCATAACATCGACAAATGATTGGTGCCGACATTTAAAAAGAACTCCTGCAATTGAATTTAAAAAAGAAGATTCAACAGGATACTCAAAATCCTTAGTAATCAGGAAAATGCAATTTGAAACCATAACATTCTTTTTAAACCTAACAGATAGGAAAAATGATAAAATCTGATGATATCCATTGTTGGGCAAGCTGCAAAGCGAGTGGAAACTCACTCACTGCAGGTGGCATATACAATTGGTGTAACCTCTTTGGAAAACAATTCAGATCTTCTGGAAATACTGAAGGAAGACATTACCCAGAAATACCCTTTCTAGGCTTATAACCCAGCTATGGAAATTCTTGTACCAGAGCATCAAAAGATACGTATAAGAATTTCCTCATGAACTCATGAGACCAACAGGGAAATTTGAACACTGACTAGATTTTTTTTAAAAGATTTATTTATTTATTTTAGAAAGAGAGAGAGAGAACAAGCAGGAGGGGCTGGGAGAGAGGGGGAGAGAGTGAATCTCAAGCAGACTCCATGCTGAGCACAGAGCCCAACACTGGGCTCTATCCCAGGACCCTGAGATCATGACCTGAGCTGAAACCAAAAGTCAGACGCTTAACTGACTGCACCACCCAGGCGCCCTAAACACTGACTAGATTTTTGATGATATTAAGGAATTCTTTTTTAGGTTTGATAATGGTATTAGTATGGTTAGCTTCACCCAAAAGGAATCCTATCTTTAAGGGATACATACTGCAATATTTCTTTTATGGATGAGGCTCTGACATCTGGGATTCCCCTCAGAGTGAGCTGGAGGTGGAGGAGATGGGGTGACGGGTCAGACGAAACAAGACTGCCCGCAAGTGTGTCCTGTTGATGCTGGGTCATGAATCCATGAAGGTTCGCCATAGGATTTACTCTCTAGGCATCTACTGAGCTGCTTTGCTCAGCCTCAGCGTTGGTCCTCATCACCACACCGTCATCGGGAATGTGATGGAGCCACCAGATACCTGAGTCCACGTAGTGAGGGTCTTCCACCCAAGTGAGTTGACCTGCCCCATTTCCTTTCCTTTGTTTCTCACGGTGTGTCTCTAGTTGATTTCGTTGAACCCTGTGATTTGAGCCTCTTCATTCGGTCTGTGAATCCTTCTGTTCTGTGATTCCTGCAACAGCCTTCCTGGTCGTGAACTTGAAGGCTACTTCTGTATCAGAGTCATTTCCCAGCGTGCCAGCACCAGAGCCCTGCTGTCCACAAGTATCTGGGGCTAGGGAGGGACATGGAAGAGGAGTTTATTTTGACTACTGTGTTGAGAACAGACTGTAGGGGCAAGATGCTCGTGTATGGCCAAATGGATAGGGAAGCCAAATGCACGTAAAGAATGTGCTAGATTGGGTCTAGTCGTTTAAGCCAAGGATTATGGCAAATAGTTGATCAGTGGTTCGATACGCTTGTTACATTTTTTGTAATGGAAGGTGTTTCCGCGAGCACACTTTTTATAATGATACTGCTCCGCACGTTGCAGTCCTGTAGATCTCAATCTTCTGCGAGTCTGCTAGTCTGTTAATTGGGGTGCTTGTTTTCCAAAGACTCAAGAAACAAGTTGTGGCCCTGTATTGGGCACCGAGCCCATCGATTTTAGGAGGACCTTTGCCTCCTCAGTGCGCAACTGGAAATGGCACTGATTCAGAATGGCATCTCGTTAGCCTTCCCAGCTCTTTCCTTGGAACCAGCGTATCTGTGTTATAAATGGCGACAGAAACTCGGGCTACAGGCTACAGGTGTCCAATGATCTTCTCATTTGAAGGCCACGATTTACCTGATCTTTAATCCCATTCTCTGGCCAACTAGCCAACTGATGACTCACATTATTGCCTGTTGTAAAAAAATAACAAGATTCCCACATATTTAAGTTTTAATTGGTTTGTTAAGTTTTAACACGATTTCGTTTTGCCCGGGACGTGAGAAATCCATGACAGCATATAGCCTGAACTCAAACCTTGGCAGAGAGCTCTATACGAGCCTCCTTCACGACCTTCAACCTCCCGAACCCCTCCCATGCCCCGGTGAAGGAGGTCTCATAGTAGCTGCCATTTGCAAAAACCTTCCTCTGGGGTTAATGATGATGGCGGGAAGCTGGGCAGCAAGTGGACAAGCACAGACTGAGTTCGTAAAAGACCAAGGAACATGACTTGAGTTTTCCTACTCCTGTTTTGGAATCACTGTAGTCCACTCGCATCGCTTGGCTTTCTCGCTGTGTGACCCTGGGGAACTTCTCTACCTCTCGGGTCTACATTTACTTTACTATGGAAAGTTTCAGAGGGGGAGGAGAATAGCACAGACTTCCACAGGGTTCTGCGGAAAGGTGATGAGGAGAAAGTATTCAGCTGTAAGCTCTAGTCGGCTTTTGCTCTTCCCTCTAGTTTCCAACCTCTCTCACTGGATGGCGAATTGTTTAAGGGATGAGATTTTCCTTCCTCCTAGCATATTGTCATCCTTCATATGATTAAAGTTTGTTTCAGATTTCAAAAGTGTTTAAGCCAACCTGTTCCCTTCCCCAAACACACACACACCAGGTCCCCTCTAGGCCTGGCTGAGTGCATGTGGTGGGCGAGGGGGGGAAGGTGCCTTTGTTCCCACTCGCACGTGCAGAAGCTGGTCTAGTGGAAACTAGGTGGGTTTAGAAGAAGAGAAGTCAGAAATCCAGCTGCCGCTCCGTTGTTTGTCTGTCTGCGGGCCTTAGCTGCCTGAGCATATGAGCCAGGCCCTCGGCCCCTGGCAGGGCTGCTGTCCGGAGGGTGCTGTGGACCATTCCTTGTGTGCAAGAGGCCTCAGCTCCCGCGGTTGAGGCGGGGCTTGGGCTGGCAGTAGCCCGTCGGCTGTGTGAGTTCGGTTGTACGCAGAACGTGCCAATTCTCATTTCCAAATGGACCACTGCTCGAGGATCTCTCCTCACAGCCCTGCTAAGCCCTCCTGTGGCCCCATTTTTACCATCAGTCTGGTATCTGATATGTAGGGAGCTCCTATCTTAGCTCCTCCCTCCCCATCCTTCCAACCAGACACGCGGGAGCCAGGCCGGCTCCCCTCGGGCACTTCCGTCCTCTGTCCTCCCCAGTGGGCCCCATGCGGCCCCAGCTGCAGCCTGCCTGGCTCTGCCTTTGTCTTCTCTCTCCTGCCCCCAGATTAGCCACCCCCAAACCATTCTTGTAATTTGATCGCTGTCTTAGTCTTTGTTGTTCATTTTTTGTCTTCATCTGTGTATTTATGGGAATTTCTATAGGACCCCCCTGAAAGCGCCCCACTCGTTTCCAGACTACCCTGCAGACCTTCTCAGGATCTTCCCAACTATCCTTGAAGATGCTGAAAGCCCACCCCCTTCAAGCAGTCTGCTCAGGGCCTCACCCCCCGTACCTCCCGGCCCACTGCCCCCTTTCACTTCCCATATCTCACACTTAGCACGTCTGTCTCAACACAGAATGTCCTGCCAGCTTGGCCTCCCTAGATCGGGGACTGTGTCTTTGAATCTCTGCTGTCACGAAAAGGCCACTCTCTCCTAGCTGCTGTTCTCATCTTGGCTCCAGAATCTCTCCATCGGGATCTCTATCCCGATGCTCTCTGCCTTCCTCGGGTCTCCGTGTCTCCGCACGTCCTCAAATCCCACGTGCAGCCTTGCTGCTTCTCGCTGGCTTCTTCCACAGAAAGCGCGGTCTGTCCTCCGCTCCCGGGCCCGGAACGGCCCTGTCCCCGGCCCGCACCCCCCAGGCTGCCTCTGCTCCCTCAGACAGACGTCAGGTCTGTGAGCTCTGAGCCCCGGCCGCTGCACCAGCCCTCGTCGGAGCAACGATCACAACCCCGGAGGATTCGGCCCTAAGGTCCGCCCTTCCTGCTGACGAGCGATGGTGGAAATCAGGGCTGGCCAGGCGTGGGTTCTTCCCAGGGAATAGATTTGAGACCTCATACGTCATTTGGTACCAAAATGGGGTTTTCCAAAATGTAGGTGTAGGTATAGAGAAGATACAAAGAAAGGAGCGAGACGGCCCCACGGTGCTATGCATATAATCATCACCTCGATACTAAGTGGAGTCTCCCGTCAGGATTTGCGGCGTAATTCTAAGCCTGGAGGGAGGCTCCTATCCCCTTCACACTCACTGCTTCCTCTGGAAGAGTTAATTTCTGTTCGTTCTTTGGGCCTCATTTTATACACAGTGTCCACAGGGACTCCCCCTGTAACGTCTTTGAGACAATGACTGAATCCACGCGTGTGCGACTGAAAAAAGACCAGGCTCGTGCATTTTAGTGAGTGTTGGCTGACAGTGCGGCCTGCGTCGTGACGATGCTCCCGAGCGTGTGTCCAGGTGGATCTGGGGACAGTGGCCCCTGCTCCTCCTGGACACACCCTCCAGGCTGCATTTCAGTTTTGCCAAGCCCGTCCCTCAGCGGGGACCCGTCGAGTCCCCACCACAGGCTGAGACCTGACGTTGCGGTGAGTGGTCGGAGCCTGCGTCTCGCCTGTGTTTAGGGCGTGACGGTGTCCGCCGCAGCAGGGCCACGGAGAGCCAGCCACGGAGAGCCAGCCGCGGGCCGCCCAGTGCAGGGCGAGTGAGCAGGGTAAGGGAATAACTTGAGGCCTAGAGTCGAGGGCGAAAGGTGATGGGATTATCTGTAGGGATCCGAGGAGAAGCGGCCTCGGGGCAGAGGGAACTACCGGAAGCAGACGATAAATCCAGAAGACTGCTGGACCTT